AATTAGTAATTAAAACATATAAAGCAATCGAAGAATCTGGTTTGCGTAGATCCTGACAGTTATATAGGTAGTCTGTTTCATCTTTCTGGAGTTTGGGGTGATTTATTTACTTATTTACTTATTTATTTATTTATCATATTTATATACAGTAGCTGCCCATTTCACATAGAGTGACTCTGGGCAGCTATATAATTGCAATGTGTTTTTGCTCATCTAAATGGTGTTCTTATGTAGCACCTTCTGGGGGCCATTAGGGGCAGTTGGAAGTGAAGCACTTGGTTAGTGTAGATTGTTTTTCAATCTACGGTACCTGAGGTTGTAGTCCGCCATTGCTTTCTCTGCTAATGGAAATGTCCAGGAAGGGTAGTTCATTTTTGTTTGTTCTTCTCTTGCAAATTTTATTCCTTTAACAGTATTGTTGGCTGCCTTACCTGTCTTCCTTAACTGTTCATTTTTTATTAGGTTGAACCTATCATCTACGTAACAGATCCAGTTTTTGGGCTTTATATGTAGGACTGTTATTCCTTCTAGGTGTTGTGTCACAGTCTCAGCTATGAATCCTGAGATGGGTGATCCTGTGGGTGTTCCTCTGGTTTGATTTCCAACAAGGACAAAGCTGGTCATGTAGTGCCTCCTGGTGGTCAGTAGTGAATATGCACACCATAATACAACAGGCACATCTTATAGGCATAGGTTATATTTTCCAAAGGAAATGACTTTAACTCTCAGTTCACATCCTTCCAAGTGTATAGGTACCCAGAAAGGTTCTACTTCTCTCAACTCAGTGGAGTATCAGTGACAAAGTGCTCCAACACTGCCAGACTTTCTCAAGTTTACAGCATTAGCAGTATCACATTCTCAGGTCTCAGCCAAATGTTGCTATAGTTAGGATAAGTGTGGCCAGGATTAAAGCCTGTCGATATCTTATCTGTCCCAAACATTCTTCTTTCACTCTCTCACATTAGTTTCATTAGTTTCATTCAAGCATTGGAAAATCCTCCTTTGGTTCCCTTTTATGACCCCAAAGATCACACTGAACCAGAGAAATATGAATATAGTTCAGACATGAGGGTAGAGTTTCACAAAGCAACATTCTTTGCATCACTCCTAGGAGATCAAACTATGGGCTGTTACATTTTTGTTCTATCTTCTGCAAATTAAGACCAAGGTCATGTTATAAAAGGTCAGGCCTCATTGGTTACCCATGCCGAAAGATGATCCATTACATGTCAGAGGTGAAGAGGAGGCACGTGAAGCAAGGGAAGTGAGAGGAGTACACACATATCAGCAGTGCAGTAACTGTTGGAGGTTCTCTGGCTTTCCACTCAAACTCCAGTCTTTTATAGTTCCTTGAGGTCCAAGCTACTGGTCCACTTCTTTGGAATTAGTCCTTCAAACTGAGGCTAACAACCATCTGACGCCTTCATCTCAGGATTGATCCAGACGAATAATGTAGCTAGTCTACTCCTTTGTTAACATTGCATCTCATGATTTTGGAGGAGATCTCTGGATGCAATGGCTGGAGGTTTAGATCCAAGCATATCAGAAGTCCTCAGACCTGTCCATCCCATGGCATTGTTCATAGCCTCAGCTTCCTAGATTACTTTTATCCCTTGATCTTCAGCCATTTATCATTAGTACCATACTCATGCAGACTTATTTCGTAGTCCATTACTAGCCAGGCAGCAAATATCACATCAACAGGTCAAGTAGCAGGACCTATTTCAAATTAACATACTACAGGAATAACAATGCAAATTAAATAAAATACAATATAAAATCAAGCATTAAATCAACATCCGACAAATTCATATCATATCTTATCCCCATAAACATAAGGATTTCTCATGTTGTCTGTTTTGGAAGACAGAAGAAGACTTTGTAACAGGTGCCCCTGATGGGTCAACTGGATGCTACATTATCATCTGAAGAATCTAATTTGCATTTAGGAAGAAGATCTTAACCACATCATGACATCATGATGTCATGACAATTCATGACAACTACTGGCTAGTTAAAATTGAACTAGCTGTTCATTTGTTTTAGCATATTACAATCTTTAGTATCTCAAGAATACGTTTCTTGAGTAAAGGGCAGTCAAACTTTCCTGCATTATTCCCTTCCTGACTCAAACTGGAATTATGCCCATGAATCACATAAAAAATGTTGTCTCCAGCTGCACACCTATGTCACAACAGTGACTCCCAACTCCCCTTCTAATTATTAAAACCATGGTGATTTCTTCTCTTTTCAACAATGCTTATGGGATTTCCATCAACCACAATTATAGGTCAGTCTTTAAATCAACATGACAAATAATTGGAAACTCCTCATATGCAAAACCTGAAAACACGGTCCATAAGTACATGCTGCTCTGCTGAAAGCAGAGGCTGGAATTGGTTTAAGCAGACTATACAAATCTGAACTTGAAGGTTGCTCTTCCAGATTTGGGGCCAAGCTGGACCACCTTCAGAACCATTGTGCTCTTTCATGAGCAGATCTTCCTTGTAACTCACCAGCTCTGAGACCAAGGAGGAGGTCTCTGTGCCTGAGAAAGAATTACAGCAAGGATCTCCATCATGATAGGTCAAGTGCTGCTTCTTCTACAAGTGTGGCTCTTTCTGCTTATCCTTCTGTTCCAATTTCCCTGTGTGACCATGGTGATGAAATGCCCACTGAATGTGATAAGAGAAGAAAACAAGGAGTTTAATTTCTACAAGCCAGGAGACTTCCTGATTAGTGGAATCATATCTTTATCAAATTCTATATTTCAATCCTATGTTTTCTTCCAGCCTCCCACGCATAGATTTGTAAGGTAATTATTAAAGTATGCATGATTTTGTTGATTGTTGATTTTACCCCTCCAATGTCATTTTAGTAGGGAATGATTCCCATTTCCCAGTTCCTGGCCTCTTTCAAGCAGGTCATTTATTTTTATCCCAATTTGCTTTAAGAAAAAGGCTTAGGGGACACATCATGCATTTTTTAAAAACTGCAAGGTGTTAAGTTCTTTTTCAGTTCTTCGGCAAAGGCTAGAACCAACACCAGGCATCTTTGTTAACTCTCTCACAAAATGGTTATTGGGTGAGTGGGGTCTTGCTTGTTCACAAAATGATTACTGTGATGCCCTGGAGAATCAGCAAATTTCCTTTTACCAGAAGACAAAACTGTGAGGCTGCCCCTAACTATCTTTCCTCACTCATTATACTGCTCTCTATCCTTCCCTCCTTCCCTCCTTCCCTCCTTCCTTCTTTCCTTCCCTTTCTCTGCTTCTCTCACTCTCTCTCTCTGTCAATTTTTTGTGCAATCCCAGTCCATATGTTTTTGTTTTTTTGTTTTTTTATGGTTCAGGGATTGAAGAAACTGGGGGAATGGGTTAGTTAAGTAACCAAGTTAAGCCTCTTGTGGAAAACCAACCTAAATGTGTCACCGTAAGTGATAAGCTATTGGTTTCCCTAAAGACAATCACATTTATGCCATAGCTGTTGTGCAACAGAACTAGTGCTGGATCTGAAGAAGGTTCTTGAGGGAGAGATCACCTCCTGGCAAGTGAGAGCACACACTCAAGATGAATTTGCCATTGCTTGAACCAAGCCATTAGCCACCTTCTGGTTGATACAGCAGGAAGAATAAACATAAGAAAACATGTTTGTACCACAGGGAGTGGTTGGTTTTTCAAAACTTAAGTAAGCAATTACCAAGAAACTTTCCTACTTTGCAATTGTCTTTTACCAGTTCTTACCACTGTGGTCATTCTGCTCTGAAAATTCTTTTCCAGATTATCTCCCTGAGTCACAATTCAGAGAAAATAATAGTTAGGATCAGCTTTAGACTTTTGGGTAGGATCTCTTTGACCCTGGCATACAGAGCTTTTCTTTTTGCTATTTGGTTTGGGAAGAAACTCCTATTGGTATGAAAGAGATTGAGCTTATAATAGTCGTATCCTGAGAATTCAATCAAAGATGATGATCATGATCATGATTTGCCATTTTTTAATGGAGCAATAAATGTCTGACAGCACAACTTATCATTGCAGTTTGGAATATATGAGCTACGGGCAGGTCCTGCCCTTCTTGTTTGCCATTCATGAGATCAACCAGAATCCAAGGGTGTTACCCAACATCACTCTGGGCTACAACATCTATGAGAACTTTTTCAATGCAAGAATGACCTACGAGGCCATGATGGACTTGCTGTCTACAGGACAGGAGAGTGTCCCAAACTACAGTTGTGGAAGACAAACAAATCTGGTGGCTGTGGTTGAAGGGACTGATTCTGAGCTCTTTAATCATGTGTCAACCATGTTAGGCATCTACAAAATCCCACAGGTATGACTGTAAAATGAACCTAATTCCATGTTGTAAATTCTCCAGATTAGTTCAGAGGGGATAGCACCAATAAATCTGGAGGAAAATAGTAGACTTGAAATAGTATTCTTTCTATCACATCTTCACTTATTTCTTTCATGTCCCTGGCATCTATGTGCAACATCCTTTTGAAACCATGAGTTAGCTTCACAGATTTCTTCTTTCCTGCTACAAAAAAACCACTCAGAAATGACAGCCTGCTGGGGAAATAGACAAGCCTCCCCCGTAGACTGCAAGCCAGATCTTCTGATCTTCCACTTGTCTCCTACTGCAGCATTTGGCAATCTGCAGATTGGGAAACAGGAGAGAGAGAGAGAGAGAGCAGAGAATCACTTCATCCAATTGAAAAGCAAAAGTCAGGAGGCCCACCTGTGAATTTGCATTAGTTCCAACAGAAAGCTATCTGGACAAAGAGAAATCTTCATTTAGTGGGGGCACCTAGGAAATGGCATGTTTATGAAATTATGGCTGAAGTGGCAAAGTTTCAAGCTGCAGAGGATGAGTGTTCCCTGCACATGGTGGTTGATGTCTAAGTCATAGAACTTGTCAACATCAGGCATCCTGCATTGGATACTTTGGATCCTGTTTACTCCCTGTCCCTGACCTGGTCTCATCTGACTACGATTTCTGCAGATGTATCACAAAAAACATCAGCCAACTACAAAACACAGAGAGAGAAAACAGAGAGTCATTGAAACTTTTTCATTTATTGAAAATAGCCTCTCCTTTTTAATCATGAAGCATGATTAGGAGTCCCTAGAAGTCAAGAAAGAGACAGAACAGTGAAAGAGAAAGGGGAGGAAGGAAGGAAGGAAGGAAGGAAGAGAAAATGTGGTGATATAGGTGGGAGAACAATGAACTTCTTTCACTCAATGATCTCAGGTTAAGCAGAAAATATACAAATCCATACACACAAGCACACACACACACACACAGACATACACATCAAACAGAGGTCTTAAAGAAAATATGTTTCTCACATCTTGATAGGGAAAAGCTGAAAGAATAAGGACAGGAAATGGGGTAGACTTCTTTGAGATTTTCCCCAAAACGTCATTGCTTCTTTTCATATAAGGAGGAAGGTGGGAAACCCAAGTAGATGGAGGAAACAGAGAATTTGGAACAGTCTGAGCAATAGAAAAGGGTTTTTATTGTCCCTAAAAGTAAAACAAAGCATCAATCTTTTCTGTTTCTTATTAGATCAACTATGGTGTTATCACTCACACCCCTGAGCAGAAACATCAATTTCCTTTTTTCTACCGGATGAGTCCAAAACAAGAACCTCCTTACTTGGCAATTGTGAAATTGCTCCTGCATTTCCAGTGGACGTGGATCGGCCTCCTTGCTTCAGCCAATGAAAGTGGACAAAAGTTCAGAAGAACCTTTGCGCCTCTAGCCATAGGCAAAGGCATTTGCATTGTGTTCTCAGAGAGCATCCCGCTGTTGCTTTGGGAAAAAAAAGTTTTCCTCTATTTAAGCCTAGAAAGAATGAGGCAAAAATAATTGTGTGTCAATTGGACTTTCAAACAACAATGACACTAGCAGTTTTCCTACGTGCAACTGACAAAGAATTTGCAGGAAAAGTGTGGATTGCAACAGCTTTGCCAGACAGAAGTGTGAGAGCGTTCTACCATTGGGTTGATCTTGAACATGAACATGTTTTGCTATCCTTCTTAACTCAGGCAAAGAAAAGGACACAATATTATGACTTTAGGTTGTATTTCTCTACTATTGTGGAGTATGGGGCAACGCCATTTCAGTGCTCATATTCAAGCCCTGTGTTGTCTAAGAAAGTTTGGAAAAGATGTGTAGAAAGAGAGAGCTGGGATATTCTGCCCGATGACATCGTTGCGAGATTCCTGTCTGAGGATGCCTATAGCATTCCTATTGCAATCCAGGCTGTATTGTGGGTCCTCAATGCTGCCTACTCCTCCCAACTGAGCCAGAGGAAGATTGGAGATCGTTTGACGCCCCAGCTGGTACAGCCATGGCAGGTGAGATTTCTCCTTTCAAGTTCCTTTGTGGTCCCCCTTCAACTTCTAAATTCTGTGAGGGGAATGGCAGGACTTGAGGAAACTCCTCTCCAGACAGATAAGACCTCAGAGGTGTTTTGCCCAGCAATGTGAAAAAATGGCCGTAGTAACATGGGCACTTCAAGTAGCATCTGTGGGCTGGCGCAGACCGGGTCTACTCCCTCTTGGTCCTTGGTCTTGGTGTCCAAGCAACTGTGGCCAAAGTTTCTTGGCAGTGCATGAACTTCTAGATCACTCCATGCCAATTAGCATTGTTTCATCATTCTATTTTGCAGTCTTATATAGACAGATTGCTTTCATTTATGTATAAGCTGGGCATAAGTTGACAGGATGGCAGCATTAGCATTTCAACCATGATTTATTTATTTGTTCAATCTGTACGGCTGCCCTTCTCCACAAGGGACTCTGGGCAGTGAACAATCTTACAATAAATTAAAAACAATTCCAATCACAAATACAAACATTAAAGTACACAGCATCCGAGGAAGATACCACAGTTGCTAACATAGCCAGGAGATGGGACTCTTCACACACATGGGGTCCCAGGCCTGGCCCAGAACCAGGTCTTTAGGGCCTTACAAAAGATCAGCAGGTTTGAAGTCATCCTAATCTCTGGAGGGAGAATATTCCATATGGCAGGTGCTATGGCAGAAAAGGCAGTTCCTGTCCTGCCTCAGACTTCTGGGAGAACTGACGGTGTTGCAGCATATCTCACGAAGAGCATAATCATAATAAATAGTTAGTCCTTGTTTAGAGACCACAACTGGGACTGGCAACTCAGTTGTTAAGCAAAGCGGCCGCTAAGCTAAACTGCAACTGCTCTTATCTTCAGCTTTCCCTTGCTTTACAGACCACAAAGATCATAAATGAAAGGATTGGTTGTAAAGTTACTTTTTCATTACTGTCATAACTGTGAACTGTCACTAAATGAAGCAGTTAATAAATGAGGACTACCTGAATAAACAATGACAGTTCAGGATTGATCCCTTTGTGGCCATTTTTTTAGACAGGAGGCACCATGCTAAGTATGTGCTATATACAGACATGTATGAAATACTTTAAAATTAAAGCATTAAAATTTCCCCAGATTTCATGAGGCCTGTCTCATGTGGGAACACACAGATTCATTTTCCTTCAGAACCTCAAGCCTTCTGCAATGTTATATTAATTTTTGTATTTTAATTTTTGTTGATCTGGGAGATCAGAAGGTTCCCACAGGTACTTGTGTTGTTCACCTTCAACCAAGTGAGTTAAAAGGGTGATTCATTCAGGAAGCTGGCAAGACTGAGGTTTGGATTTCTAAATCTCTTTGCAAACAGAGGCCCAAAGCCAAAGAAGTCCAGTTGTTCAGACCAGTCTCAAATTGGTAATAATAATCACAGAAATGTTGAATTTAGGATCAGATGGGAATGTATAAGATACAGCACACTTTTCCATGTCTTTGTAGCTTCATCCTTTCCTGAGAAATTTCCAGCTTTACAATCTTTCCATGGATGGTGTTTATCTGGATGAGAACGGAGATCCTGCTGTTGATTTTGATATTGTGCACTGGACAATATTGCCCAACGTATCTACTGCTGAGGTGAAAGTTGGCAGTATAAAAAAAGAGGCTTCCTCAGAAGTCAAGCTGTCCATCACTCCAAGGGCCATCATGTGGCCAACATCATTCAGTCAGGTAGGTGATGCTGTTTCTTTTTGGTTCTTATTATTTATCTCCAGTTACACATGTCAATAGCTCTAGAGACCCAGTTTGCTTGTTGGCTTATTTATTTACACACTCGGAACCCCAGGCCCAGGCACAAAGCCAGGTCTTCAAGGCCTTCTGAAAAGCCAAAAGGGTCAGAGGCATCCTAATCTCAGGAGGAAGGATATTCCAGAGGACAGGCGTCACAGCAGAAAAAGCACATCTCCTGGTCCCCGCCAGCCAACATTCCTTGGCTGATGGGACCCAGAGCATTCCCAACCTGCCGGACCAGATTGGACAGGTAGAAACAACTGGGAAAAGATAGTCCCCCATGTAACCCAGTCCTAAGCCATGAAGGGCTTTATAGGTGATGACCAGTACCTTGAATTGCAGCCAGAACCACACTGGCAACCAGTGCAGCTCCCGAAGCAGTGGTGTTACATGTGCCGAGTAGCCAACACTATTTACAACCCAGGCAGCTGCATTCTGTACCAGCTGAAGCTTCTAAATGCTCTTCAAGGGCAGCCCCACGTAGAGTGCATCGCAATAGTCCAAACGGCAGGTCACGAGGGCATGAGTGACAGTGAGTAGAGCCTCCCGGTCCAGGAATGGGTGCAACTGGCACCCATGTAGTAGTGAAGGCACCAGGCTAGAAACTGGAAGACTGTGAGTTCTAGTCCTGCCTTAGGCACAAAGTCAGCTGGGTGACCATGGCCCAGTCCCTCTCTCTCAGCCCTAGGAAGGAGGAGGAGGCCAGGGCAAACCACTTTCAAAATTTTGCCAAGAAAACTGCAGGGACTGGTCCAGCCAGTCAGCAGGAGTCAATGCTGACTGGAAGACACACACACACACACACACACACACACACACACACACAGATTTTATAAATGTCTGCTTAGAAATAAATCCCATTGACCTCAGTGGGGATTGCCAGCAAGCAATAGTTTTCAGTTTTAAGCCCCAGTGGTTCAGCAGACATCAGGCATAATTATATGTTCATGATTATTTTCTTAGATTGTATGTGTAATCCTTAAGGATATTATCCTTATCTCATTGATTTTGTTTGTTTGTTTGTTTGTTTTAATGCCCTTCAGTTTATTATTTAAGCAATTTATATAGCCATCCATCTCACCACAGGTTACTCTGGGCACCATACAACAAAGCTAAAAAGGGTCAATAAATATATTAAAAATATAAAAATAAAAATAAAACAGAGAACAAAAGGATGTTAAAAATAAGGGAGCCACCTCACTAATTCCCCCATCCTCTGGGGCCCCCAGGCCTGCTGGCATAACCAAGTCTTAAGGGATCTCCAGAAGCTCAACAAGGACGCGGCCAGCCTCACCTCAGGGGGGAGAAGATTCCACAACGCAGGTGCCACAGCAGGAAAGGCCCACTACCTTGGGCCTGTCATATGTAGCTCCCTAGGTGACAGGACCCATAACATGCCCTCTCTGCTGGATCTGGTAGGGTGGGGAGGAGGACTCACAAATTGCACGCAGGGTCTGTCTGGGACAGTGTGACCCCATCCAGTACTAAAGATGGTAAAATCCTAGAACCAGAAATGCTCAAGACCCAAAGCCACTGTCAGAACCTGCATCAACCAACAATTGTTAATTTACAAAGCATAGCAGTCAATGGGAGTTTGATTGATTTGCTT